CTTTCTTTCATTTCAGATTTGTGTCGACTCAAATTTCATTTTATCATTCCCCCAAAATTTTCTCCCCAAATTTTCACGCTCTCTCCGGTGCAATTTTCCTCTACTCTTCGGCGACCACTGCTCCTCTCCTCTCCGGCGACTGATGCTCCTCTCCTCTCCGGCAACTCACGCACCCGCGCTGCTCCTATCCTCGCCAGACGCACTGTGCTGCTCCTCACCCGACTCGTGCACTGTCGTTGCTCCTCTCCGCACCGGACACACATGCACTGCTCCGACGCACCTGCCCTGCTCCGCCGGCTTCTTCACCCTCTCATCGCTTCCCAAGGTGCAGTTGTTTAGTTGTTTAGGGCTTGATTAGGGTTTTTCATCTTCTTTTTTCTTCATTAATAGATATTAATGATGTTTTTTAGTTGAAATGGGAATGTATCGAATTAGGTTTTTGATTAGGATTGAGTTGATTATGTTTTTCTTCACTGATTTAGGGTTTAGGGTTTAGGGGGTTTGGTGCAAGGAGGCCAATATATTGGGAAGAATAGAAGGGCATTAAGTGCAATTAATGCGAACATAACTGGAGTTCCCCCTCACCCTCGCGCTGTTGTAAAACGAGGGGCTCTAAAAGAGTACGTAAAATTAATGTAGATGATTGTCTGCATCCTTGTGTTTTATGTTTTGCCTTTATTAATTCGGTCTTAATTGCTTAGTCATATCAAATTATTAATTATAGTCTCAGGAAAAACGACTCCTGCAGTAAGAATCATGTTCCTGTCATTAGGTTTGCAAATCAGATCTTTTTGTTTACTTTTATTCTTTTTCTGTCTTTCTTGATTTTATTTTTATTTTTTGGGTGAATTTCAGGAGGTTTGCTGCCCAAGTGGCTGTCAAAGAGCAGCATCCATCACTTGAGGTATATACATTTCTTGTTGATAAATCATCTGATATTTTGAAAATGGATTCATATGTAGATAAGTGTGGTAGAAGAAATTTAGACCTTAAATCAAGAATTTTCCAGAGTTTTAATGAAAAGCGTTGTTTGCTCTTTTTGGGCATTAATTAATTATGCTAATGTTGTTACAGTTTGGTTATTTTGTAATGCCTAAATAATAAACAATTAAGAAATAATTGATCTTCGTGTTGGTGTAGAAAGTAAAGCCACTCGTTCAATCAAATTCGAGCACAAACTGTCCGGAGGACTGTATTACTATAGACTCAATAGATGAAGAGGATCACAGGGCCATGGACGAACATGACGTGCCCATGTCCGTGCAGCATACAGAAGCTTGGAGGAAATCGACAGTATGGTATATTCAGATTATATGTTATATTCTGTATCTTGGGATGTTTATTAAAATATGCGCATTTGTTTATGTTGCTAAATTTGATTCATAGGATGTGGAAGTGGAAATGGAGGAGATTAATGGGGATGGTGAGCCTGTGGTTGATATAGATTGTGTCGATAGGAAAAACGTGCTTGCAATCACTAAGTACATTGATGACATACATGATTATTATGTAAAAGCTGAGGTGAGAATCATTTCTCTCTATTTTGCCTGTGAAGTTCGAATGATTGAATCTCATTTGAGGCTGATACCTATTATTTTTACTATTGAAAGTGTACAAAACACTAAATAAAAAATATATATATTTTTTTTTAAAAAAGCCAATCTTCAGCTTCTAGGTGGCCAAAGTTATTTTTTTCCCCTTAAAAATTGAGCCCTATATGTGTGTTTTTGTATGTTGTATGTGAATATAAGAGGAGTATGTGAATATAAGAGGAGGATACATGACCAATTTTTTTGGTTTAGTCTCTGCAGTTATAAAGTTACATATATACTAATCCTTTATATATATTTCCACAATCTTTTCTGGTTCTAGGTTGTGTGACTTGTAATTACAGAGAACAAGTTGTGTGCCACCAAACTACATGGCACATCAATCTGACATCAATGAGAGAATGTGGAGGATCCTTATCGACTGGCTAATTGAGGTAAAAAGGGAAAAAAGAATCTCAATGTTCTGCTAAAATATCCTTTTATCCTAAAACTAAAATCAAAGCGTTTTTCCCTTTTTCCGTTTATTAATGCTTTAGTGTGTACCGCTTGCCTAATTAACATTGCATGCTTACGTGCGTATAGGTGCATTACAAATGCATTGGCTTTTCTCCTTTTCGGGTTGATGGTAAGGTTATGCGATTATATGTGAGGAGAGAGGTTGTCTGCCTACTTCAAGGGTAAAGCTTATGGTTCTAATTTTATAATATATAAGGTAATTAATGCATTCTGTTTAACTTTTACTAATAATTTAGTTTGGATGAGTTCATTATCCAAATGAACGTAAGTCTGTGGAAATGCTAACTTACCGCGGTGGCTAACTAAAATGCAGTTATTTTAATCAATGTCGAGATTTCAAAATTTTTTAATTATGTATATCATGTTAATCTTTATCCGTTGGTGAATTATAACAACTAGTACGTAACCCGTGCGATGCACGAGACAAAGATATTAAATGAGTTATTTTCACGGCCTTGTCCGTTTAAGTCTAAAAAGTAATAATGTTATTATCTATTTTCTACCTCTTTTAATCAACGTTAAGTCTAAAAAATTTTTAAGCCGCCTATGAATTATGTGTTCGTGTCTCATAAGTCACAAACATTATGAATAACATTACAAATCATTCATTCAAACTTTTATTCATTGCAAATATATTAAAATAGTTTATATAACAACCATTAAATACCATTTTCAATATATTTATAAATAAAAAGTATATAAAATTTCTGGTGTGTTACAATTTAAATACTTTTTTATTGGCTCAAGGCTAACTATAAATAATGCCAAGTACACTTTTGTCTTACATTACTTCTCTTACTGATCTATTATTCTTCTTCTTCTTCTTCTGTTCTTTCAGATCTAAATTGAAACCCTTTCTATGACAAATTTTCTCAAAACCCTTCAAGGACCAAATTCACTAAAATTCGTCCCAAACAAAATCCAGAAATATGCCTCTATGATGCCTCCACGAAATAACGAAATATTCGAGAAGTTTTTATTCGTTGGAGTGAAAAGTTTTCTTTTCACTCTGATGTATAATTTTTTTTTTTTT